GTTTGAAGATAAACAAGCAGCCATCTAGCTGAGAAGCAACAAAACCCACATGGAAGAAGCACACCAGCCTGTGTGATCATGAGGTGTCGATGGGATCAAGTATCAGGCATCTAAGACCCAGAACAAAATCATACCCAATGTGAAGGGGCTGGGGGAATGGGGAAGGCGGAGTGGAGACCCAAATACATCTGTAAACAATTAGACTTCCCCACACAGAGGGGTCATAGGGAAAAGATGAGCCAGTCAGGGTACAGTATAGCACCGATGAAACACACAACTTTCCTCCAGTTCTTTAATGATTCTTTCCTCCAACTATCTTGACCTCAATTCTACCTTACAAATAAGATTACACCAGAACATGCACACTGCTACAGATAAGTGCCTGTAACACAGGGAATCTAGGATAGATAAACCCCTCGGGGCCAACAATGAGAACAGAGATACCAGGAGATTAGGGGAAGGTGGGGAGGGGGGGATCGATCACAAGGATCATCATATAACCCCCTCACGGGGGGATGAACAATGGAAAAGTGGGTGACAGGTAACAGAGGATGATGTACGGTATGAAAATAATATTCTATAACTTGTCAAGGATTTGTGGGGGAAGGGGCTGGGGAGGGAGGGGAAAAATGAGGAATATCAAGGGCTCAAGTAGAAAGAAAACACTGTAAAAATGATGGCAGCATATGTGCCAATGTGCTTGACACATTGGAAGAATGTATGGATTGTGATAAGAGATGTAAGAGCCCCCAATAAAAGTATTTTTTTAAAAGTTAGTTGTTGAACCGTATCACAATATACAAGTAACTAGCATCACTACTATTTAACACTTTCAGTTAAAAAGAGAATTCAACCTCTCAGTCATTTGTTAAGCACTTGTAGATGAAGTAGGCACTGTGTTGAATATTGAGGTAACACAATGATAAATGAGACAGAGTCTGATTCAGGAAATCCACAATCAATGGAGAAGATAACGATAAACAGATGATTCAAATATTAATAATGGATTATTACAAAAGGGAAATTTTTGAGAGTGCTTTGGGAGCCTAGAAAGGAAAATGACCAACTGCCTGTGAAGCTCAGAAGAGAGACTAAGGTAGAGGCAACACTTGAGCTGATCTTTAAAATGAATGAAGTGTTTTCTTTTTCTTTTTTTTAACATTTTATTAGGGGCTCATACAACTGTTATCCCAATCCATACACACATCAATTGTGTAAAGTGCCTTTGTACATCGTTTCTCAA